GTGGTGGAAAAGGTTAACAGTGGTGGAAAAGGTTAACAGTGGTGGAAAGGGTTAACAGTGGTGGAAAAGGTTAACAGTGGTGGAAAAGGTTAACAGTGGTGGAAAAGGTTAACAGTGGTGGAAAAGGTTAACAGTGGTGGAAAAGGTTAACAGTGGTGAAAAGGTTAACAGTGGTGGAAAAGGTTAACAGTGGTGGAAAAGGTTAACAGTGGTGGAAAAGGTTAACAGTGGTGGAAAAGGTTAACAGTGGTGGAAAAGGTTAACAGTGGTGGAAAAGGTTAACAGTGGTGGAAAAGGTTAACAGTGGTGGAAAAGGTTAACAGTGGTGGAAAAGGTTAACAGTGGTGGAAAAGGTTAACAGTGGTGGAAAAGGTACCCAATTGCCATACTTGAGTAAAAGTAAAGATACCTTAATAGAAAGTAAAAGTGAAAGTCAGCCAGTAATACACTACTTGAGTAAAAGTATTTTGTTTTAAATATACTTAAGTATCAAATGTAAATGTAATTGCTAAAATATACTTAAGTATCCAAAGTAAAAGTATAAATCATTTCAAATTTCTTATATTACCCTGCCAAAAATAAATTAAGCAAACCAGATGGCACAATTTCCTTTTTTAAATGTATTTACTGATAGCCAGGGACACACTCCAACACTCAGACAATTTACAAACGAAGCATGTGTGTTTAGATGTTCTTTAGGGATGTTCTTTTGATAACCATTTTCCTGTCCTGCTAAGGATTCAAAATGTAAGGAGAACCTTTGGGTGTCAGGGAAAATGTATGGAGTAAAAAGTTGTCAAAAATATCAATAAATTAAAGTACAGATTCCCCCCGAAAAACTACTAAAGTGGTAGTTTAAAGTATTTTTACTTAAGTACTTTACAACACACTTATATTTGACCTATCTCTGCTAAGAATAAATACTCCAGCACACATCTCTGCTATTAATAACCACAGGATGCCAAACTACTAGCCCAAAACAAGGTCATCATTGACGAGTTGATTTATTCCTGTGCGTGCGGAGAAATAACGTTTGTTTTATTTAACTAGGCAAGTCAGTTAAGAACTAATTCTTATTTACAATGACAGGCTACACCTGCCAAACCCGGACGACGCTGGGCAATTGTGCGCCGCCCTATGGGACTCCCAATCACCATACAGGCTGGAATCGAACCAGGGGGGTCTGTAGTGACGCGAGATGCAGTGCCTTAGAACGCCGCGCCACTCGGGAGAAAGAAAATACAGCGCATGCATTGAGAGAAAGAGCAGGGAGGAAGTGTCATTCGTTCAACATCTTCACTCCCAACATCCCATTCCTCATCGTCACTGTGTCAGAACCATGATGGTAAAAGAGGATCCGCCCCTGTTTTATAGTGTCAGAACCATGATGGGAAAGAGGATCCTCCCCTGTTGGTTGGTCTTTATAGTGTCTTAGTGGGACACTCCTTGTTCTGTTCTCCTCCTCCTCCCCCCAAACACGTTCTTCTGCTCTCTCTATTCTAAAGACTATAACAGATGTTGTCGAATGACCTTTGGTGAAAACGAGGTGTTGTTGTTGCAATAACTTTATGTTCCTCTCCAGGACCATGATTAGAGAATACTTGATTAGCTCTCTAGTAATTATTCAACTCTTACAGTGAATCAGTCAGATCTCTGTTTAAAGGGTAGACTCAGCTATATGACGTAGATGCAGAAAGTAAACAGCATAGTGGGTCAATTTCCGCAAGAATTAAGCGCGTTGACGCACGTGCCTCAACTTCTCCACTGTTTTGGTCCTGTGGCTACCACGTTGTACACAGCGTGAAGCGAACCCGTGAACATGCGCAGATACTGTGTGTGAGCGAAGTGTTGCATCTCAATATCTCCGGTGCTGCTCGTGGCAACATTTCGCTGAGTCTACCTTCAATTACAGGAAATAGGTATTGGTGGCACATCTCTCCGTCTGCCATGGTAATGCCCTGTTGGTCTGACTTTCACATTTTAAATAATTTTTGTTGCCTTTATCTAACCAGGTAAGTCATTGAGAACACATTCTCTTTTACAATAACGACCTGACCTAGAAGGGACAATGATAATACCTAACACGGTTGCTGGATCGAATCCCCGAGCTATCTCGTTCTGCCCCTGAGCAAGGCAGTTAACCCACTGTTCCCCGGGCGCCGATGACGTGGATATCGATTAAGGCAGCCCCGGCACCTCTTATGATTCAGAGGGGTTGGGTTAAATGCGGACGACACATTTCAGTTAAATTCATTCGGTTGTACAACTGACTAGGTATCCCCCTTTCCCTTCCTCTGCCCTATTAGTGTCCAGTGGCTGTTAGGCTGAATTAAACCAGGCCAGGCAGGGCTAATAACTGACTGTTACCTTCATTGACATATCAGTAAGTGGGGCCTGCTTGGCCAGGGAGAGACATTCAGCAGCGTCCTAAAGCTAGTTAAGTTAAATGTCCTGACTGTGAACCGTGGTTTGAACCCGATCTGTCTGCACACCAAAAGGGCTCTACTTTCCGAACCGCTAGTGCCATTTAGAATTGATTAGCCTAGGCTATAACCCCCCCCCCCCCCCCCTAAACATAGACAGGTTCCACACTGAAAATACGCAAAAACATTAGTTTGATAAAGACAAAGAGGATATTTTCATCAGAATTATTAAGCATATGCCTACTCACCAAATAAATGTGTGGTGGCGGTAATTCATCACCATGCAGTGTTCAATGTGGAATTTTTCATCCATTTAGAAAATACCAAAGAACAGGCTAAATTAACAAAACAAGGCTATGCCATTGTACAGCCACAGGCTTCTACAAGCAAGCTCCACTGCTGAGGTTACTGCCTTTTTAAAGATTGTGTTCCACAATATAATATAACCAGTTGATATTACAGATTCAATAAATTAATCTTAAATGGCACTTGCTTTTTTATTGACTGAGGGTACAAAATATTAGGATCACCTTCCTAATATTGAGTTGCACTCAGAACAGCTTCAATTTGTCAGGGCATGGACTATACAAGGTGTCGAAAGTGTTCCACAGGGATGCTGGCCCACTTGACTCCAACGCAACGTTGTGTCAAGTTGGCTGGATATCCTTTGGGTGGTGGATCATTCTTGATACACATGGGAAATGGTTGAGCTTGAAAAACCCAGCAGCGTTCCAGTTCTTGACACACTCAAACCGGTGCACCTGGCACCTACTACCAGGGGTGCAACTTTCACTGGGGACATGTCCCCCCCATCATTCTGAAATGGCATTTTTGTATTTTCAAATGCCTATCCCTAACAAATACATCCAAAGTGAGTTGGTTTTTCCACCATAAATTGACAAAAAAAAAAAATTGGGCATTTGAAGACATTGAGTGAAGTGTACCCCAGATTTGTAACATTGTAGCGAGACACTGCCAACGGATCCCTCCATCTAGTGTCATAAAGTACCCAATCTCATCTTCTGTTAGATAGAAACAGAGTTGTTCTCACTCCCATCTCTTATTATCCTGAGTCTGGCAGTATCTCAGATTGTTCTATTTGGTCCCACCCTGACTACAGTGAGAGAAGCGCCACACAAACCCAGCAAGACCACTTCTCTCCCTTTCCATCTAGACATGCCTGTTGAAGGTGGAGGAAGGCCAAAATAAACTGAGTCAGCCACACACAGCAGGGTAGTGCTACTTACAATATACTATCCCCTTCGTGCATTCATTCTAGATTGCAAACACAAATCTATATTGGCCCTCCTGTAGCTCAGTTGGTAGAGCATGGCGCTTGCAACGCCAGGGTTGTGGGTTCGATTCCCACGGGGGGGCCAGTATGAAAAATGTATGCACTCACTAATTGGAAGTCGCTCTGGATAAGAGCGTCTGCTAAATGACTAAACTGTAAAATATTTATCAAATGTTTGATGAGGTGCGTCTACCCCGCCTTAGAATGTGTGAACAGCTTTGATCACTAAGCCTTGCTGCCACAGCAGGCCTTAATGCGCAAATCAGTTTAGCTTTTTCAAATCAGTTTTTGAATACCGATTGTCCAAACGGCACATTACAAGTGACAAAATCGGATGTGTTTATTCATAAGCAGTCATTCACTGACATGGCTACGCTAGTTGTCATAGTAACGACAGGTGTGCGAAATATCGGATTCCATGTGCTTTTTGGCTGTTCAGATGGCAGCAAAAAAAGATTGGAATCACGTAAGCAAATAGGATGAGTCACTTAACTGCCATGAACAAGGCTTTAGAAAAGCAAATTTGAGCTTATTTGGCAGTTTCTCAATCTTTCACCACCTACTGCATTAAAAGAGAATAGCATAGCAGCTGCGTCACATTCAGTTATCTGATACAGGATGCCAGTTTCCACCAGTTACCATTTGAAACTGACACGCTCAATTGAATTAGTTACACTGAACATGTACATGACCATAATGCCAAGAAAAAAATAAAGTAGTGATTTGTTAATTATTTGTGTTAATTCAAGTGAGCCATTACACTAAAGAAATATATCAGTCAGCGCTTACGTCACCCCGAGCCAGTTACTGTGATTGTGACCTGTACTAGTCGTCAGAGGTTTCAGGAGCACAAACTGCCTGCTGCTCTGCAATGCAGATTATACAATCATAATATCAGTGGTTCACTTGCTCTTTTCATGGTTTAAAAAAATATATATATTCCAACATTTCACCCGTCTGAAACATGAGCCAGATGTACCTTCAAACAGACACTGCAAAGACAAGTGGCAGCGGATGGCTGCAGTAAATTAGCAATCACCTGCTGGTTTGCGACAAACCGAAGCGATTCAACGTGTAGATTAGGAGAAAGGCCTAGAAATTAAAAAGACACGCTGCTTTAAAGTTCCTAGTCGCAGTGTGTGCAACGCTATAGCGACACCCGGGTTACATTTTGGAAAGGTGCAGTTTCGAAACGTGATCTAGAAATGTGTGTCTTTACTCTTAGCTAGACCTATGCTGTGATTGACAGGTGATGAGCAGTAGTAAAAGACCAGAGGAAGGAGAACATTTCAACCAGAGGATTTATTAATGATAGATCACGCCTTCTTCGCTGCCTCTTTCTGCAGCCTTTTCACCTCATGCTTGATGACCTTGTTCCTCTGTGGACACAAACAGCAAAATCAGTGACCAGTCAATCATTGGGGACAAGTATTTTATCAATGAATAATCTGAACGTTTTCTCCACTTACCATCCTTTTGGCCTTCATCACCTTGAAGCGGTCAAAGTCGGACATCTGTGCCCTCTGCAGAGACACAACAGTTACAGCGGAGACGTAGGCATTAGCAGCGCTTAAGCAAAACATTTTTGCAACAGAAATGAAGAATATTTGCTTAGTGGACAGATTCAGGTAGGTCCTTCCCCGTTTTGGCCCATTTGCTTCCGTATGGTTCATTGTGACCACCACCCTGGAGTTGCAGGAACATTGCAGTAGCATAGCAAGCCAAAAATTTTGATGTGGGCAGTGATTCACCTAAAGCCTATTGAACTATCCTGTGTCCCATTTCACAAAATGTTTAGCCACAACCCTCGAGGAACCAACTGTTACCCACAAGCAGACCAATCTCCCCCCTCCCCCATCCATTTAGAAAACACAGCCCCAGGGTTACTAAGGAGATAGAAGCCCTAGTCCAGAAACACGTGGACCCCATCAGGAGTTTCCTTTTGACTAGCAGCTAAAAGCAATCTAAAACACTCCGTACCTTTTGCCTGGCTTCGATCTTCTTGGCCCAGTTGCTTTCTGCCCACTTCTCTGTGACTTGGGCCTTCTCCCAGGCGCGTTTCACAAACTTCTGACGAGCACTGCAACACAGGAAGGGTTATGGCCCAGAGGATGGAAATGAGCAAAGAGCCAGAGGTAGCCGTGTGTTCTGTGAGGCTCCTGCAGTAGGTCTGTGACTCAAAATCCACCACAGGAAAATGCAAAAGCAACAGCCAAACAGTTCATTGAAGTGTTTGTGTGTGCACGTTTTTGTACCAGACCAGCTGTAATACAACTGACTGAACCAATCAATATCTTGATAGAGGACTGGAATGTATTCATTTGTGCAAACCGTAGCAAAACATTTTGCAAAGCAAATAAGTTCATATTGGACAAAGTTAGGTAAGTACTTCCCTGTTTCATTCAGTTTGCTTCTGCTTGATTCCTAGTGAATACACCCCTGAGGTCCTCTCACTCACCTGTGTGGGACTTTGATGACGTAGTCAGTGAGCTGCATGCACTTGAAAGGCATTGACTGTCTCTTCACCCCTGTGCAGGGTCCATCCACCAGTGCCTGAGACAAACACCACAGCCAGTTTAATCAAACAGGTCTATGCTGAGTTGAACCATTCTTAAATTAACTGCTCTATGTGGTAGTTTACATTACGTCAACAACCTGGCTCTACCACTCACACAATGGTGAGTTTTTGATTAGCTCATTGGACAATACTTTGAAGCAGGACTCTGGAGAAGGGTTGGTGGATAAAAGACTAACAGACATATAACCGCTAGCAGAGTAGGTGATACAGGTGCTGGTTTAGAGCCTGCTCTCCCAACTCCAGATTTATGTTCCAGCCCTGCAGCAACACCAGTCAACCAATTCCAGGCCAGAAAGAAGACTGTGACTAGTTGATCATGTGAATCTGACATGTTACTGCAGGGTTGGAGCAAGCCTGCACAACCAGTAACTTAAAAGGAAGAGAGTTGGGAGACCTCAGTCAGGATATCATCAATGCTATGCTTACTCTGTTTTGGTCGATGACATCGACGATGGCCACCAAGCTGCCTGCGTGGGGCCCGAAAGAGATGTAGGCAACGCGGCCGATCTCAACGTAGCGCTTGAACACCTGCAACAAATGAGGGTTGTTAACTTGCTAGGTAGGTAGAGAGCCAGCAAAGAGACAAAACACTTTAATGGTGGTCTTCTAGCTAGCTACTTTCTTATAACGCTCCCGAAACTGTCAAAATGTAGATGGGTTATCTTGGTTAGCTAGCTACACGTTTTACAAATGTGATTTACAATTATGGCATGGCTATTAGTTTGTGGGAAACACCAAGACCGAGAAGTCTAGACGCTAGCAAGCTGTACCGGAGTGATACTAGTAGCCCACCGCCTAGCACGCTAGCAGATAACTAACGTAACTAGTTAGTTTACATATGGCCGTGGACCGACAAACTCAAAATAAGAAAGACCCGAGGATTTTGAAGATAAATACAGCAACTATTCAGCGTTCGCCTCTCTAATGAGTTTGTCATAGTGGTGACATTGGCGCTTCCTAGCGCGCTACTAGTTGACTAGTCTGATTATCGGCCTGTTCTTCACCACGTTGTAGCAGGCGGAACATCGAAATGTTTTATGTCCAAAAGCCATCGAAACTATTTATCAAAAGCCTAAACGCTAATAAAGCGAACATAGTGATACGCTATGCATTTAAACATCAGTTGAGGGTGCTTAACAATAAGGAATATTATATTTAATCCGTTTTTCATAATTCACAAGCTTCATGGCGAACTCACCATGATGGCAGTCCGCTTCAGAAAGGACGTAAAAGTTTCCGGTCGACGCAATTACGCCTTTCTGCTCTGTACGCACGCACGCGCATGTGAGGGATTTCTTCTTCGCGTGGTTGGATTATGTTTCAGTTCGGAATGCTCATCACGCCACCTACGGTAGAGGAATGTGTTGGTGTCAAATACAGTATGAACCGCTTTATATTTATTTATACAATTATATGATAATTCCTTTGGTTAAACATGTATGGCACTTTTTTTGGTGGGGGGAATGTACACCTGAAGTGAATGATGAGACAGTGTATCTTCCATCCACACAACTTTAGTCAATTATTCTGAATCTGAATCAATATCACTAGGCTTGTGCAAATCAGAATCACCTTTATTCGCCAAGTACGTGTACACATACTCAGAATGTTACTTGGTGATATGGTGCTGCTAGTGATAGACAACATACTCAGAATGTTACCGATAATCAGACTAGTCAACTAGTAGCGCGCTAGGAAGCGCCAATGTCACCACTATGACAAACTCATTGGAAAGGCGAGCGCAGAATAGTTGCTGTATTTATCTTCAAAATCCTCGGGTCTTTCTGAGTTTGGTTTGTCGGTCCACGGCCATATGTAAACTAGCTAGTTACGTTAGTTATCTGCTAGCGTGCTAGGCGGTGGGCTAATAGTACCACTCCGGTACAGCTAGTCATAGACTGTTCTCTCTGCTACTGCACGGCAAGCGATACCGGAGCACCAAGTCTAGGTCCAAGAGGCTTCTAATCAAATGGTTACCTGGACTATTTGCACTGACCCCCCCCACCCCTATTTTACGCTGCTGCTACTCTCTGTTTATTATCTATGCATAGTCACTTTCATAACTCTACCTACATGTACATATTACCCCAATTACCTCGACTAACCGGTGCCCCCGCACATTGACTTGGTACCGGTATCCCCTGTATATAGCCTCGCTATTGTTATTTTTACTGCTGCTCATTAATTATTTGTAACTTTTATTTCGTATTATTTTATATTGTATTTTTTAGATATTTTTTTAGATATTTTTTTCTTAACTGCATTGTTGGTTAAGGGCTTGTAAGTAAGCATTTCACTGTAAGGTCTACTACACCTGTTGTATTCGGCGCATGTGACAAATACAATTTGATTTGATTTGATTTGATATGGTGCTACTAGTGATAGACAATATAATCAGAATGTTACTTGGGGATATGTTGCTGCTAGACAACATTTAGAGACAGAGTTTAAACAAAGTTGACATACATTATATAAAACTAGGTAGAGTGAGGATAGAGCTGTAAGAGAATTAGCAGATATACAAATGTACAGTGGGTATACGGTTGATACACAGTGGGTATACGGTTGAAACACAGTGGATGTACACATTTACAGTATCAGTATGAATATATCTAAATGCAGAGAGATGGACAGAGTGCAATGCAGTATAGTGCAGTTATTTTGTGTACAGTTCAGAGATGGCTTGTACACAAACATCGTGTGCAGCATGGAGTGCATAGTCCTTTAGTCTCAATGGGCCAGATGGTGAGGGCCACAGCCCGGGTGAAGAAACTGTTCAGGTGGTGGGAGGTTTTGGTCAAATGATTGCTGGTTGGAATTTGTACATCGTTGTCAAGTGTGGCAGTGACAAGGTACAATAATCATAGATAGAGCAGGCCTACTAGAGTACAGTATAGAGACTGCAATATTTACATTTTAGTCATTTAGCAGACGCTCTTATCCAGAGCGACTTACAGTTAGTGAGTGCATATATTTTTTGTTGTTGTTTTTTGGGCTCGTCCGGGATTTGAACCCGGGACCTCTCGCACCCTAAGAGAGAATCATGCTCCTAGACCAACGAGACAGATGCTCATATTCTCTGTAGTTAAGGTTAAAATCAGATTTTAAGAATAAACATTTTAGAAATAGGCGGAGTTTAGACATAATTATGACTTTGTAGTGCTACCTCTCACATGCTAAGCGAGCACTCTCCCATTTGAGCTAATTCCCCAGCTCTGATCTCCCTGTAGTTGAGTCCTGACCTACAGATTTGCGTGGCCATTGTCAAAACGCCCAAAATTCAACAGCAGTACTTCTCAGCGCCACCATATGCCAGTGCAGTACCAGTGAATAACCGAAGTTTTCATGACATGCGTGGCATTGAAATTAATTTCAAAAACCTCTTTTTATCTGGATAGACAGGCTCGTTGGTCTAGGGGTATGATTCTCGCTTAGGGTGCGAGAGGTCCCGGGTTCAAATCCCGGACGAGCCCAAGTTTTAGGGTAGGCTAACCTGCAGTTAAATAATGAGAGGCGGAAAACCCTACTATATGCCCACCTGTTCTATGGGCCTTTCTAGATAAGTAGCCTGTCGCCTCTAGGACTTGTAATATTGCTGGTGGTAAAAACTCTTGGATTTATTTATGTCTCCTTTATTGATACCAGTTATCATTCTGAAATGATGGAGGAGAGAGATCTTTCCCAGGATAGAGAGCAATCAAACATTTGTTTTGAACTATGAAGAACACATTCAATCATTGAGAATGTAATATTTACATTTTAGTAATTTAGCGGACGCTCTTATCCAGAGCGACTTACAGTTAGTGAGTGCATATATTTTTTGTTGTTGTTTTTTTGTTTTTGTTTTTCATACTGGCCCCCCGTGGGCTCGTCCGGGATTTGAACCCGGGACTTCTCGCACCCTAAGAGAGAATCATGCTCCTAGACCAACGAGACAGATGCTCATATTCTCATAACACACATTATCATCCATTTTAACTCAAGTGCAATGTATGTTGGGGTAGGATATATATAATTGGTAGGACTCAAGCTCTCATGGTTGTCACTAGTTACCACAGCCATAAAGTCAAAATGGTCTCTCTCGTAAAAATTAATGACAACTAAAATTTGCGTTTTGGTCTTAATTTAAGGTCAGCCATAAGTTTCGCAGTGTAGTTAAGGTTAGGGTTAAAATCAGATTTTAAGAATAAACATTTTAGAAATAGGCGGAGTTTAGACATAATTATGACTTTGTAGTGCTACCTCTCACATGCTAAGCGAGCACTCTCCCATTTGAGCTAATTCCCCAGCTCTGATCTTCCTGTAGTTGAGTCCTGACCTACAGATTTGCGTGGCCATTGTCAAAACGGCCAAAATTCAACAGCAGTACTTCTCAGCGCCACCATATGCCAGTGCAGTACCAGTGAATAACCGAAGTTTTCATGACATGCGTGGCATTGAAATTCATTTGAAAAACCTCTTTTTTTTTTGGGACAGACAGGCTCGTTGGTCTAGGGGTATGATTCTCGCTTAGGGTGCGAGAGGTCCCGGGTTCAAATCCCGGACGAGCCCAAGTTTTAGGGTAGGCTAACCTGCAGTTAAATAATGAGAGGCGGAAAACCCTACTATATGCCCACCTGTTCTATGGGCCTTTCTAGATAAGCAGCCTGTCGCCACTAGGACTTGTAATATTGCTGGTGGTAAAAACTCTTGGATTTATTTATGTCTCCTTTATTGATACCAGTTATCATTCTGAAATGATACCACTGAAATGAAGGAGGAGAGAGATCTTTCCCAGGATAGAGAGCAATCAAACATTTGTTTTGAACTATGAACTATACAGAACACATTCAATCATTGAGAATGCAATATTTACATTTTAGTCATTTAGCGGACGCTCTTATCCAGAGCGACTTACAGTTAGTGAGTGCATATATTTTTTGTTGTTGTTTTTTTTGTTTTTGTTTTTCATACTGGCCCCCCGTGGGCTCGTCCGGGATTTGAACCCGGGACTTCTCGCACCCTAAGAGAGAATCATGCTCCTAGACCAACGAGACAGATGCTCATATTCTCATAACACACATTATCATCCATTTTAACTCAAGTGCAATGTATGTTGGGGTAGGATATATATAATTGGTAGGACTCAAGCTCTCATGGTTGTCACTAGTTACCACAGCCATAAAGTCAAAATGGTCTCTCTCGTAAAAATTAATGACAACTAAAATTTGCGTTTTGGTCTTAATTTAAGGTCAGCCATAAGTTTCGCAGTGTAGTTAGGGTTAAAATCAGATTTTAAGAATAAACATTTTAGAAATAGGCGGAGTTTAGACATAATTATGACTTTGTAGTGCTACCTCTCACATGCTAAGCGAGCACTCTCCCATTTGAGCTAATTCCCCAGCTCTGATCTTCCTGTAGTTGAGTCCTGACCTACAGATTTGCGTGGCCATTGTCAAAACGGCCAAAATTCAACAGCAGTACTTCTCAGCGCCACCATATGCCAGTGCAGTACCAGTGAATAACCGAAGTTTTCATGACATGCGTGGCATTGAAATTCATTTGAAAAACCTCTTTTTTTTTTGGGACAGACAGGCTCGTTGGTCTAGGGGTATGATTCTCGCTTAGGGTGCGAGAGGTCCCGGGTTCAAATCCCGGACGAGCCCAAGTTTTAGGGTAGGCTAACCTGCAGTTAAATAATGAGAGGCGGATAACCCTACTATATGCCCACCTGTTCTATGGGCCTTTCTAGATAAGCAGCCTGTCGCCTCTAGGACTTGTAATATTGCTGGTGGTAAAAACTCTTGGATTTATTTATGTCTCCTTTATTGATACCAGTTATCATTCTGAAATGATGGAGGAGAGAGATCTTTCCCAGGATAGAGAGCAATCAAACATTTGTTTTGAACTATGAAGAACACATTCAATCATTGAGAATGTAATATTTACATTTTAGTAATTTAGCGGACGCTCTTATCCAGAGCGACTTACAGTTAGTGAGTGCATATATTTTTTGTTGTTGTTTTTTTGTTTTTGTTTTTCATACTGGCCCCCCGTGGGCTCGTCCGGGATT